AAAGCTTTAAAACGTTTAGAATTCTCGAATTTCCCATTTTTTTCAGCATATTTTACGTGCTAGACCCCATTTTAAAGCACTACTCATTTAAAATATTAATTTTTTCGTCTATTTGTCAAGATTTCAGTGTTTTTTTTTGCGGTTTTTAATATTTTTATAGCATCCCGTGCCAAATTTCATCCAATAATGTAAAAAATAGATTTGGGTTTGTTTTAAAATTCCACTAGAAGACATGATTTTATGCCTATTTCTTTTGTTTTCTATCTTTTTCGGTACTAGACCCGTGCAATGGATCACTTTTAGCATTTTAACAAATCTTTTATTGGAAATTCAGCATTCACGCTTTAGAAAACAAGTTTTTACTACTAAAAATGCTGGAAGTGATCCATTGCATTGATCTGCTCCTTACAAAGAATAATTCTTTTTATTTACAGGTAGAAAGGCACCATTCAAGATACCAATGATGATGTGGAATATGACAACATTTCCAATCGAACTTCTTTGCTTCGATCTGAAGTTTGAGATTTTGGAGCAATTAGACGCAAAAGATGTGGTTGCATTGGTTAACGACGATCAAGGATTCCAATGAATGATTTCGAATCGACCGTCGATAGTTTTTGGACATCACGTGCATGTGGTTGGCTTTGCGTTTGGTTCACACGATCTTGAAGCAATCAACATCAAGAAGCTGAATTGGGATTCATTTACGATCAGTCTCGGTGCCATTCGTCATTTTCCTTTTGTCAAAAACATGCGTTTATGCAACCAATTGAGCGTGACCACCTTTTACAATCGAATCAACGAGGTTCGCCGCAGCTTTTCTGAAACAATTTGAGGCAGCGAATCAACTCGAGTTGATTTTATGCGCGCCTCAGGATCTGGAGTTGTTTTTTCATTTGGCTCAAGTCAATCAAGGAATACATGAGTCTTCACATCAGCTTCTCTCAATAATATCGGTCAATAACAGATGTTGTTGGGCATTTCATTGAGGCTCAACTCAACGAATGTGACAAAGTCGTGTTTCATTGTCACAATGATGGTTCCTTCCACTTTTACTACAATGCTTCGTTAAAGACCCACATCAAACATGTTGCATTTGCCTGCGAAAATCTGATCGTTCCAGCCATTCAATGGATTGTCAGCCACGGAATTTCGAGCAAAAACTTGGCCGCTGCTGTTGGAGTACGCGGCGAAATGACGCGCAATATGGAGGCTACAATCCTTGTTTTTCTGACAGAATATCCAGGAATGAAACAAATCAGCAGGAGAAATCGTCAGTCATTCATTGCATTGGCAAACGATCGTTGGAAGAAAAGCAAATATTCCGCTTTGAAGATGAAAACTTTGTGTTTCCGACGAAGTATCAGTGCTACGAGAGATTGCATCTGCATGTTGTCCTGGGGTAGTTTTTTCGCCTTCTACATCAAACCTGATGAAATTATCCTTGATCATTGATGTTTGATTGTTATGTTTTGCATTTTGATGTAGCAATGCAAGAGTTATATCAGTCTTTGATTCTAAGCAAGTGTTTCAGTGAAGCTAGGCTTTTGTTTTGAAAATTTAACCTCAAAGTTCTTCCACAAGTCCCTCAAAGTTCTTCCACACTTCCACAGTCGAGAACTTTGTTTTCAAAGTTTCAGCTCACTTCAACAACCCTTAATAACATTTTGAAGTCTATCGATTAATAGCCTGAAACTGAAGGACCTGAAATATATCTGACCTACTCAGCTGCAATTCGAAAAGAGCCTGGCCTTTCCGCACTGCAGCGGAATTGGATCAAAACAAGAACTTTATCTTTATTTGCTCAATGCATTTAATAAAATAATACAGACCTTACGAAAGACGAATTCTTTTGAACAAAAGATTTTCAAAAAGCTTATTTGGTTTCGATGACAGTCGTGTGATGATAGGGAAGAGTGGTTGGTGGGGTGGTGTCCACATGGTGATGATAGCCGGTTGGATGAACGGTTGTGTAAGCGATTGGGTGAGCTTCTTGTTCGATGCTCAATTGGCGATCCCTGAAATTTGGAAAGCCGAAATTTAAGCTAATATTCAGTTTTGTAATCAAGTTAAAAGCTATGAAAAAACTTTAATAAATAGCTAATGACTGCTTTAAAAACACTAGAATAATCATAAAGAAGTGTTTTTCGGAAGTTCTCCAAAAAAAGCAAAAAATCTGGCGCCAAGCGGAATCGAACCCGCGAGCGAAGATGGCATAGGTTTCAGAGTCTAGCATACTATCCCCAAGCCGCCGCCACTTCTGCTGCCTTTGGGCTTGGCGCCCTATAGGCGCCTTATAGGTGAGGTTTCGAAAATCGATGGTAAGTTGAAACAGTTCCCTAGTAAGCTTTTGTAATCAAGTTAAAAGCTGGGTGAAACTACCGTAACCTTATAGAGCCGACATTTCCGTTCAATTTCTAATTCTAAACTATGCTTAGCAAGGCCACAAGAAGCAAAAATATTGTATTTCAAGAAATCTTAAGGTCACCTGACGTATTGATAGAATCTGTAGGTGATGACAGCACGCCAGATAAGGACAGCGATGTAGACGATGAAGAAAGCCATTGTCACTAAAAATTGAAATACGAAAACTGGTCCAATGAATAGGTTTTCAGTCAAAATAGGCTTAAAAACAAGAATTCTTTATCTTTATCTCTTTCAAAACCTCAAACTTAACCCACCAATAGCCACCCAAGTCGCCACAACGCGAGTCTCACGTTCGCGTTCATCGTTAGTGTATCGGACAAAGGTCATTCTGAAATTTAAACCTTTTTCTCTGGAAAAATCGATCGATTACCCAAATCCAGTAAAAGCAAAGATCATGACGATGAATCCAGCGATAAGAACGGAACAAACGAATTGAACAAGCTAAAGGATTGAATAGTCTCTGTAAAAACTAATGCAAAATTTAAAGCTAGTCAACACTCACAAAAACGATCCCATAGATTTGCATGAAAACCGGTTTCAGTGTGGTGATGGCAAGGACGGCGATGATGATCATCACGATGCCCAGAATGCCTAACGGACCCTGGAAAAGATTCAGGAAAATTCTTTCTATCTCTTACCGCCCAAGTTCTGAAACGATCGTCATCAAGGAAGAAACCGATGATGGACAGAATGAGACAGATCACATCGAGGATGATGAAGATGGTGAAACCTTTCTGAAAATGCTTTGAGATGAAAGATTTTTGTGTAAATTTAGATGTACACTGAACAAGCTACCGACTAACAAGGGAATGACCAAACCTGACGGTGGGATTTCGACCTGAAATGGAACGCCACCGCCATGTCTGGTCATTCCCTCATAAGCTTGGAATATTTTGGGATGGGAATGATACTTGTCCGTTATACATCTACAACTGCAGAGTTCAGTTCTATAAGACTTGTTCCGCTTAGTCTAGTCAGGCTCTAGTCTAGCTAGGCTCTAGTCTAGCCAGGCTCTAGTCTAGTCAGGCTCTAGTCTAGCTAGGCTCTAGTCTAGCTAGGCTCTAGGCTAGTCTAGCTAGTCTAGGCTTCGCGTTAGTTGCTTTATTTTTAAAGCTATAATCGAAATTATATCCGTTTCTATTAGGTTGGCATAATGAAACCGGACTTTATAGATCTTTTATTTTACAAAGTATACGGAAAGTCAGAATAGATTGTTATAAATTTTTGAAATGCTTGAATGAAGCTCTAAAATATTGACCACACACAATTTTGATTGCCCTTAGCTTTAGAGTTTCCAAGCCGTTTGAAGAGGTAGCGAGGATAGTACAAGTACAGAAGAGGTAGTACAGGAGTCAGCTAAAAGTATTGCTCTTTGAGCAATGGTGATCCTGGGAATTGCTGAAAGAAAAGAAGAATAGTAGGCAGATGTTATGCGCAAAAAATTATAGCAGCTATCATTAGAAAATTAGAAATTTTTTAGTTTTTGAGCTGACTGAGCTGACTTTCTTTTGTCAAGCCTGGCGTAGCGTTGAATAGCGTAAAAACTCTGAAGTTGGCAGCAATCAAAAATAGTTTGTGGTCAATTTTTAGAGTTTGACTCAAGCATTTCAAAAATGCCTGATAACCTTTGCTGATTTTCCGTATACTTTGTAAAATTAAAGAACTATAAAGTCCGGTTTCATTATCACCAACCTAATAAAAGAATTTATATGAAAAAACAATTGAACAAAAGAACAATTGCGAGTCCCTAATCGAACAGCATTTTCAAAATACGCTGTTCAAAGGCTTTGTGAGTAAACTGGCTCAAATGCCAAGTTGTTTCTGCTTACCGTAAAAACCCTAATAGAAGCCCCCCTCTGCCTCTTCGAAATAACGATTAACGATTGACGATTGACGATTTCCACAAACGTTTTAAGCTAAGGGCTATCGTTTAAAATAGTTTTAAAGGAAAAATCAATTTTTGATTCATTTGGGGGACCCTTACCTATTTTTTTGGCCGACCGATTTTGATGGGTTGAAAAATAGGAGCCCCAGGGCTTCTATTAGAGTTTTTACGGTAAATGCCAAAATTTTACGAAGAGAGAAGTGCTTTTAGCCTTAAGAAGCAAGATTTTCAACTAGTATACACTATTTTATAGCTCAAAATCCATACCTTGATTGTCAACACATTACAACAGCATCGATAGTCCTCTTCTCTGACCCCAGCACGGGTAATTGGATGATTGTGCGGATGCCAGCACCAGGTCATTGTAGAATTTTTCTGAAATTGAGTAAACAGGACTTTTAGAGTAAAATAAGTGCATGAAAAGGCTGCTGTAAGTTTGTAGAAATTGAAAAATGACAAAGACAAGAAGTCAAGAAGAAGCCTGCACCTGAGAAAAGTTGAAATTTGATTTTGCAATAGTTGAAATGGCAATAATGAAATGACTCAAATTCTCAGACAAACGATGTTTTTCTGTTGTGGTGCTCAAATGTCAAACTGGGCGGTGAATGGCAACAAAAGAGAGAGAGAAAGTACAAAATTTGCGGCCTTGAGGTTGTTGTTCGCACTTTTTCTCGATGTAAATATGTGTGGTGGATCTCTATTTGAAAATTTATAATAAGAAATCTTGTGATTATCGTGCACTTTGCTATGATAATATGTGTAATCTTAAGTGTTGTAGAAAGAAGAAGATAAACGCTATCTAGGAGATAAAGAAGGAGATACAGAAGGAGATAAAGAGAAAGATAAACTCTATTTATTCATGTAAGCATGAAAAAGTGAAAACGGATCATGTTTAATTGACAAAATGACACACAACAACATGATTGAGCACCAGAAGAGAAAGATTCTGAAAGAATAAACAAATGACGCAGAGAATAAGTTAATTCTATTCAAAATCAATGACTTTTTAGCAAAATTGAAATTGAAATTCGAAATTGTTAAATGAATGAATGATAAATCTGAATTTAAGCCCTATCTTCAAATCAATTTACGTGAATTCCTAAGAAACAATAATGTTATACCGTATTTTCTGTAGTAATAGTGCGCACTACTATTTTTTCAACCCCCCTCCAGCCTGCACTACTATTACAGACTGCACCACTATTAGAGAGTTTCCTTTTTTTCACTAGAACCATAACTTTACCAGGCAATAACAATAGGTATCATGTACGTAGGTCGTCCCTTTCTTTCAAGTGAATCGAGTTGTTGGTCGACGCGTCGTGAGGTGATGTATTTCCATAAAACAACTTAGCCAGCCAATTGATGCTTATAATCATTTCCTTTGTCTACAGTCTCATTCTTTAAAGGTTAGGTCTCAAGGGCGCAACCTGATATCAAGGACCTGGTTTACATGAATAAATTGGTGATCAGGTGAGCCTTTTAGCCAATTTAGGCATTCTATTTTATTACCGTATTTTCTGTAAATTTCTCATCGTTTTCCCAGATCATTCGAGCTTGATTTTGGACCATTTTGCGAGTCAATCGCAATTTCTTTAATCGCTTTTCTCGGATCCAATTGACAAGCTCGTTGTCGAAAGCTGTGTTCTTCAATTTCCGACCACCACCCTCAAGGCGCTTCAATTGTTTTCCTTTTTGTTTCACAAGATCGTCCTTTTGCTTACACCACTGGAGAACATTTTGCCGATGAATACCGACGCTTCTAGCGGAGGCACTACTATTACAGAAAATACATCATTGACGACTTCTGCCCATTTTACAGGCAATTTGCGGATTCCCCTTTCGTTGTAGAATTCGAGTTTCTGTGTGAGACAAGTGTGAGACTCAAAAATGGAGGACTGGAGATGTCCCAGTTTGAGCACTTTCTTCAAAAGAAAACCATTTTGGTGTCAATAGAAAAGTTGTAGAGAATTAAAAATTAGGCTTATAGCCAAATTTCCAAAAAGAAACACTTAGTAGTTTCGCTTAAAATGCAAGTTTTGTGAAAACTTGTAAATTTGGCATCTCTTGGAAACCAACTTTTGAATCGTTCTAAAAATTTGGATATAAGCTTCATTTTTGATTCTCTACAACTTTTCCATTGACACCAAAATGGGTTTCTTTTGAAGAAAGTGCTCAAACTTTCACATATGAGAATAGCCGGCAGTTTTCAATTCACCAACCCAATAGTTAAATAAAAAGCAAAAACAATCAAGACTAAGTGCCTTTTTTTCAAAGCAACTTCGAATCAAAACATCAGTTTCAATTTTGAGTGATTCTAGAAACAATCACAAAGATCAACTCTTCAAGAAGGAGCAAATTGCTAAAGCGTTGTGGTCAGAATTGCTGAAAACGTTGGTTAAATCGATTTTCAATCAATCAATGAACTTTTAGAAAAGGATGTCACGCAAATGATGTGTTTAAAGAGACTCCATCGAAAGAAGAGATTATAAAAATTGGATTGTTCTTCCGGGATCGATATCCAAGGGTTATTCAGTAAACGATCAATGAGTTTTCTATAGAAATTTGTGATGTTGGGGGCGTCAAAAAGTCAAAATGGGTGTAATTTCTAAAAAAATACCTGAAAAGCTTCCAAAAACATCTAGACTTTTCAGCTTCGGATGGGCACAATCTATGAATTGCTGAAGAAACGGGACTTTTTCGAGTGTTCTCTCATTTTGGGTCTTTGCGATTATGGATTGGAAGAGAGATTGAGAAAGTCTCAGTGTAAGGAGATTTCAATTGTAAATTGTAGACTCTCTTGATCAATTGTAGACTCTCTTGATCAAGTGTAGACTCTCTTGATCAATTGTAGACTCTCTTGATCAATTGTAGACTCTCTTGATCAATTGTAGACTTGAAGTTTTTTTCGAGCGACTGTAATTTGCTTTAGTTGAAAAATTTGGGTGAAATGAAAAGACTTTCTTGTCAACTTAATATTAAGTCGACCGATAAGTCTGACGCTTTATTTAAAAAGCTATTTAGAAATAACTAATTCACCTAGTAACCTCTGGTTTTTTCTATTAGCAAGCCCTAATATTTCTCTATAAAATCTCTCTATGAAGATCGCGTGAAATCATAAGAAATTTCAAGAAATCCAAAATTTACGAATTTTCACAAAACTTGCATTTTAAGCGAAACTACTAAGTGTATCTTTTTGGAAATTTGGCCATAAGCCTAATTTTTGATTCTCTACAACATTTCCATTGACACCAAAATGGGTTTCTTTTGAAGAAAGTGCTCAAACTCTCACATATGACAATAGTCGGCAGTTTTCAATTCGTCAACCTAATACCATCATGAATGACCGGATCAATCGGCTCAAGCAAAAATATGGATTTCACGAGGTTCTGTTTTTTGTGTGGCTGTGGTTTAAGCGTGAAAGTTTAGTTTTTACTCGATATCAGCAACCTGACGAGGAATATCAGATCAGAAGTGATCAGAAGTTTAGATCAGAAGTGTGCGAAGGTAGCACGTAAAAAATCTACTTAATAATTTTTTTATAATGATATCCAGATAGCGTGAAAAAACTTGAATTTTCAAAATTCTTCTACTCGAAAAAAAGTTATTAAGACAAAGATGTTTTTGGTGGAAGTTGCAAAGTTAATGCCTCAAACGAGTTGTAACACGTGCAAAAGAAAATGCCACACAATATGAAAATCAAAAAAAATTATCATTTTTGCCTTTTGTTTCTATAATTTTCGAAATAACATTGTTTTTTAGTGATGTTGAAACCAAAATAGATATGTTGTTTCAATAAAACGGCATTTATCCCTAATCTTATCAATTATCTTTCATTTTCAGCAACAAAATAAGATTCTTTCTGTTCTTTCTCTTGGAAACTCTTTTAGAAATTGTTACCTGAGCCTGTTGCTCGAACTTTTCACTTTTTGTCTGAAAACTTGTGATCTGTTAAGTGGATCAACGGAAAAGTGAGAGAAAATATGGAAATCCGATTAAAAACACCACTCGATGTGATCTAAAAACGGGTAGTTGAACAATTTTCCTTTGAATCAATAACAAATATTGTCTATAATATGAGAAATCTTGAATCTTGGGTGTTTTTCATTTTATTCGTTTGTTCTAGTGCTATTGAAAATGGAACAAGTCACGAAAATGGGAGCACGTATCAAGTGAGTGAACACTTATTGAGTAAAAAGGTTAAATCGCATTTGTTTGAGAAGGTAAAACTCGAAGCAATGCAAAATTTACATTTGTAAAGCCAGCAATAGCATAGCAAAGCCAGCAATAGCAGAACAAAGCCAGCAATAGCAGAACAAAGCCAGCAATTGCATAGCAAAGCCAGCAATAGCATAGCAAAGCCAGCAATAGCATAGCAAAGCAATAGTTGACCTTGATCATCAGCTTTGAAAGTAATTGATAACCAGAAAATCCTAGAAGTCTAAGCTTTCGCTTGAAAATTGGCTTTGAGGCTTGAAATCCTTGATTTGAGCATCAAATCTACTACAGTACTGGACAATGAAATATCATATTTGAAAAAAGATCGTCACTTTCGCGCGTCTCTAACTCCCTTGTCTTTACCGTATTTCTAAATATTAATATTACCATGGTATAGCCCTTGATAAGAGGTTTCAGAAAATGTATAACACTAATAGTTTAAACTCAAAGACAAGGGAGTTACAGACGCGCGAAAGTGACGATCTTTTTTCAAATATGATATTTCATGGTCCTCTTTTTCCTCTTTCCTTTGTCCTCTAAACCTATTTTGTAAATCAATTTTGTCTATCATCATTGCCTTAATTTTGTTCTCTACTCCCAATTTCAGATCTTATCCTTTGACTTCCCAGCTGTTGAAACCCCATTTCTGGTGGCGTCATGGTTGATCTTGGCGAGTGCAGCAAAAATGGGTTTGTCTCTCGAAGTAGAAGACCATTTTGAGCCTTTCAAAACTTTAGCATTTCACTCAAAATATTTCCCTGATAGTTCTCTTCTCGTTGTTGTTGGTTTCATTCTCGGATGGGTGTTTTATAATGGTTTTTCGGGTTGAAGAAAACTAAGCCAATCAATTTCAGGCTTCACGTGGATTAAAGTAGAATACTACCAGTTGGAATCGAGTTATTTCTTTCATTTCCTTCTCCCGCCAATCATTTTCGATGCTGGTTTGCTTAAGATGAGACTAAGAATGAAGAAAAGCTGAAAATTCAGGATATTTCATGCCAAATCGTGCCCTATTCGAGAATTTTGGCTCAGTGCTGCTTTTTGCAGTGATCGGAACAGTTTGGAATACAATGGCTATAGGTAAATGGAGTACAATTGATGCAATAAGAAAGGAAATGATTTAGGAGACTTTTCCTAAGTAAAAATGTTTATCATTCAGGTAGTGCTCTTTATTTTCTCTCTCTGTATGGATGGTTCTCTGTTTCTTTCGAAATCTTCGAAGTGCTCACTTTTGCTTCTCTGATCTCAGCGGTTGATCCAGTGGCTGTGATTGCGGGTTTGTTTTTGAATTTTCATGGGATGTCTAGGTGGGACAAGCCTGCGGGCGAGCCTGCGGGCAACCTGTGGACAAGCTAAGTAAGGTCAGACAAGCTAGATGTCAGAGCAAGACCTGGCTTTGAATCTTGAACTAGAGTCTGGTCGCTCCTGACCTGGCCTGGCCCCGAAAATTGTCTACAGAACTGTCCTGGCTAGGTTCTAAACCTGTTAAATTTCATTTGTTCATCAAACTCATACCAGTCGTATTCAGTTTTCGAAGAAGTCCACGTAAACGAATTTCTTTTCATCAACGTCTTTGGAGAAGCTCTATTCAATGATGCAGTTTCAGTTGTTCTCTACAAAATGTTCAGAAACTTTTACGATATCGGATCAGAAAGTGTTCAAGTGGGTTAAGAATCTTAAACTGTACAGGCCAAAGTTTCAGATTGTCGACTACGGGAAAGGAATGGTTTCCTTTTTCGCGATTTCTTTAGGTGGCACAGCTGTGGGGATCATTTTCGCGTTCGCTGTTAGCCTTATCACAAAGTAAGTGCTGTGCAAATGATAACTTTAACAATTGATAGCAATTGATTGATGATTTGGTAATTATCGAAAGAACTTCTGAACGAAATTCTTCTATTAACTGTTAGATTTATCAATCTAGCTATAAGCTGATAAACCCAGCTGTAAAATCTATGGTTTCAACTCTCAAATCCACACCTCGATAGCCGCACTATACAATAGTTAACCCAAAATTTACTAGAAACCGATGCCATTATACACTTTAAGTGTAATCAGACAGAGTTCATTGAATAGATAGCTTGGTTAATGAGGATGTATGGATGGATCTTGTATGAGGGATGGATCTTGTAGTTGAACAAAATCGAATAACCGAATAAAGCCGATCGGATTTGATAAACAGACAGCGCTGTCAGCTACTTTTTTTAACAACTTTAACACTTCAACAACAATTTATTCCAGATTTTCTCAAAACATGCGCGTCCTCTCTCCAATTTTCGTTTTCGTTCTCCCCTATATGGCCTATTTGTTGGCCGATTCGATGGGAATGTCGTCAATTCTGGCGTAATTTTTCAAAAAAATTAACGAAAATCGTGTAACTCTAGAATTTCCATCTGTGGAATTGTGATGAAACAGTATGTGAAAGGAAATCTCACGCCAACGGCCGTCAACTCAGTAAAGTATTTCACGAAAATGTTGGCTGTTGGTGCGGAAACGGTGCGATTCATTGGATTTCAGAATTTGGACCGAATCCTCCCAAATTCCAGGTTCTATTCATGTTCCTTGGCGTTTCAGCCATCACTTCGCCCCATCATTTCGACTGGACTTTCATCACTTGCACAATCGTGTTTTGCCTTGTTTTTCGATCAATCGGTTAGTTTATGAATATTTTTATTGATTTTTTTGTTGCAGGTGTCATCGTTCAATGCACCATTCTCAACAAATTCCGGAAAAAGAAGTTCTCAGTGGTGAGTTGGTGGATTGTGGGACCTTATTATATACGCCCCTTTTGCCATTGGCCATCGAACTTTAAGCTCAAGTTTCTCGGCGTTGGACTGTTGAATTTAAATAGTTTTTGTACCAATCGACAGAGAAAGACTTGGGGCATCTAATGATCCCAAGAATATTTAAATTTGACAGCCCAACGCCATGATATTTGAGTTCGAAGTTGGATTGTCAATGACAAAAGAGGGCGGGGCGCGTCCGATAACCGAGTTGGTGATGAGACTGTTAAACGGTTTGAGAAACTTTCTAGAATTTATAGTTTCTAGACTTAACTGCGTATTCAATAAGTTTAAGAATACCAATCAAGTCCTTTTTTCTGATCGAATGCTGGGCAAACCAGGCAAACCTTGTGGCTAAGCGTTCTAAGCGCTATTTTGCTAGATCAATGAAGCAGATGCAGCAAAGAAGAGGAAAAAAAGTTAAATTTATACTTTAAAATATTGAAAAGGCTTAATCAATGCAAAGTTGCTTGATCAATACCGATATTTGACATCACAGTGACCAATCAATCAATGACACCAGAGTCAGACATAAACAGTCAATCCAGAATAAAAGTTTTTGGATCTAGAGCCAAATCGATCTAGCACCAGAATCAGTAAGCAGTTCATTACCCTGGGACAAGATCTATTTCCTTTTAAATTGCAACTTGTAACCCTTTTTAAGAATTTGTTCTCATTTCTTATTTCAGATTGACCAATTCATTCTTTCCTACGGTGGCCTTCGCGGGGCAATCGCTTTCGGTCTCTCCGCCTCTTTACCCGATTCGATGTCAACTAAGCCAATGTTTGTCACTACAACCATTGCTGTCATCTATTTCACTGTACTACTCCAGGTACTGTAGACTTGGATAATCAAATCTAAAGTACTCTCATTACGTTCTAAATCCAATTCAGGGTGTTACAATTAGCCCTATCGTGAATTGGCTGAAAGTCGAGACGAAAGAGGATCGACAAAAGACGATGACTGAGAGTATCTACACAAAAGTTAAATTGAAACAAAAGCTAGATTTCAAGAAAATTTCAGTATTTTGACTACACAATGTCGGGAATTGAGGACATCGCTGGGATTCGAGGCAAACATTATATCCGGGACACGTTAGTTGCATTTTACTGTTACAAAAATGATTCTTTAGATATGAAAGACTGAATGCGAAGATCTTGAAGCCAATTTTAATGCAAAATGTGGCAAAGAAAGACTTTGATGCGTCGGGTATGGAAAGCGAGAGAAAAAGACATATAAGTTTTGATTTCAGTGACTGTGAGAGCTTACGCAAAGATCACTCTCGAAGAAGCTCTTCATCTCAAGGAGCAAAAGAAGAGAAAGTTGGATGAGAGGTAAAAGAAAACATTGTACGTCTGAATATTGTACGTCTGAATTCGACTAGATTGATTGGAGTTGGATTCGGACTTCCAAATCCGATCATTCAAGGCTTACAATAAACTATTAGATGGCCGATTTAGAAGCAAATATGATAGATAATCCATGCGTGAAGTGTGTAAGGCAGTATTATCAAGATTTGCGTTCATGGTTTAACATAACTGAACCGTTTCCAGTTTATATACAAGTTTACGATTGAAAATGACCCTTTCAGACTCACCATCGATCGATCAGCGATCAGTGATTCGTCAATGGATATCCACATTCCGCGAAAGAGAAAGGATACGGTTAATAAGGTGAATTTAAGCTAACTTTAAGCTAACTTGTTTAATCACTTGTTTTACAGCTCATCGAAGACCAGGCTTCAGTTGAAATGCTCTATTCCTTATTCTCGGATCTTCTCGATAGAAAGCTCGAAGATATCTCGAAACAGAAACAAATCAACGAAACGGAAGAGCTACAAGATGATTATATGGCTCAGATTAACGTTGCCGTTAGTTACTCATTTTTTCAGAAGAGCATAAAGATTTTAGAACATGAGATCTCAGCAAAATGCTCCAAACTCTTCACAACTACAACCAAGCGCCTCTTCTCCAAATATTTGATAATCAAAATAGTGTTAAATAGTGTTAAATAATGTAATTTAATAAAATGAATGCTAATTTATCAATTTTGAGCTTCAACTTCAAGCAATTCTTCAAATTTTTGCTTACAAATTTCTTTTTTGATTTAGGAACATGATTTACCGAAAAGGATCTTTCAAAAGAAAACGCTTTGAAATTTTCGCACTCGGAAAGAATCTTATATACGTTTGAGCTCGATTTTTGACAGTTATCTCTTTTTTCGACAATTATCCACCTAACACTACGGAAACAGAGCGTTTTTTTAGTCGTGCAACTCGTTTATGCTCTGAGGAAAGAACTCTTTTGCCTGTTAAATTCTGTTAAATGCCTGTCTTTTCATTTATTTGAAAAGTTACTTTTTCTGCAAAAAATTCTGGAATATTCTGCAAAAAATATTCCAATTATGAACTTTCGATGTTTTAAATGTAATTTTGATTTTCCTGATGTTCTTTATTGATGTTTTCATGTTACATTGTTGCTGTAGATAATAAAATTTTTTTTTTAAAACTCAGAAGTCTCATTCTAAGTCTTAAAAAGTCTATGGAAAATTCTTTTTTTTTGAACAATTTTCCGGAAAACAATTGAAGCGCCTTCAGGGTGGTGGTCGGAAATTGAAGGACGCAGCTTTCGACAACGAGCTTGTCAATTGGATCCGAGAAAAGCGATTAAAGAAATTGCGATTGACTCGCAAAATGATCCAAAACCAAGCCCGAATGATCTGGAAAAACGACGAAAATTCTTTAGCATCAATTGGCTGGCTAGGTTGTTTTTCTGGAAATACATCACCTCTCGACGCGTCGACTAACAACTCGATTCACTCCGAAGAAAGGGACGACATGCGTACATGATACCTATTATTGGGTTGGTGAATTGAAAACTGCCATTCTCATATGTGACAGTTTGAGCACTTTCTTCAAAAGAAACCAATTTTGGTGTCAATGGAAAAGTTGTAGAGAATCAAAAATTAAGCTTATATCCAAATTTTTAGAACGATTCAAAAGTTGGTTTCCAAGAGATGCCAAATTTACAAGTTTTCACAAAACTTGCATTTTAAGCGAAACTACTAAGTGTTTCTTTTTGGAAATTTGGCTATAAGCCTAATTTTTGATTCTCTACAACTTTTCTATTGACACCAAAATGGTTTTCTTTTGAAGAAAGTGCTCAAACTGGGACATCTCCAGTCCTCCAATTTTGAGTCTCACACTTGTCTCACACAGAAACTCGAATTCTACAACGAAAGAGGAGTCCGTAAATTGCCTGTAAAATGGGCAGAAGTCGTCAATAATAATGGAAATTATTTGGAATGAATTGATGGTTTTATGTTGAATAAATTTTAGTTCAAAGTCCGGCAGTTTTCAGATTTAGACCGATTTTGACTCTTGTGGGGGACCACATGATCGAAATTTTGAAATTTTTTTTTTACTTTAATTTGATCAG